TCCCGCTCTGCCAGAGTCTGTCGGAGAAGGGCGAGAAAGTGGCTGACGACCTCCACCTAAATAGGACACTGATACTTTTTTTTAAATGGTGTTGATAACTTTTAGGCGTGTTTCATGTGTATTTTAATATTTTTAGTGTAGGGTGCAGTCTTACTTTTATGCTGCATATTTTACTTTTAATAGGTACCTGATTTTATGTAAACCTGACACTTGTTCCGAAAAGCCATCGAATGTGGACGAACATAAGAATACATGGTGATGATGATGATGATTGTGAATTCCAGCCTGGCTTCCCACACCGTGCCTAGTTCTTGGAAACTTACTTACATTCATCCTATCCAAAAGACACCCAAATCCACTGAGACATCCAACTACCGCCCTATCTCTATTCTCCCAACCATAGCCAAGATAACCGAGCGTATTGTGTACGAGCAGCTGTACACGTACTTTACAACCCACCACTTATTCCCATCCTGCCAGCACGGGTTCAGGACATTGCACTCTACCGAAACGGCGCTGTTAACCATGACCGACCGCATATTCAAGGCGATGGACAGCCGACAGGTGGCGCTACTGTGCCTGTTAGACATGTCGAAATGCTTTGATGTGATCCCGCATGACCGTCTGCTCATCAAGCTACAGCAGTATAATGTGGACACACGCTGGTTCGACAGCTATCTGGCAGACCACTACCAACAGGTTGTCATTTGCTCGCCCGAGAGAGGTCGCACGCTCTCCCAGCCGTTGTTAAACCCCATTGGAACCTACCAGGGGTCCGCCTTGGGGCCCCTCTTGTATACCATCTATGCGGCAGACATGCCCCTGTACCTGGACGCAGACGTCGCGCACGACAGGTGCTTGGTGCAATATGCCGACGATGTACAGATGGCGGTGTTTGGAAGTCCCCGAGATAGTGGCGCGATGGTCCGCAACTTAGAGTTAGATCTGGCAGCTCTATCACTTTGGTTTCGGAAAAATGGACTTAAGGTGAATGCGAACAAAACCCAGCTCATTGTCATGGGCACTGGACCGAACCTCCGTGCGATGCCCGAGATACAGGTGGAGTTCATGGGCGCCACTATTACGGAATCGAGCACGGTCAAAAACCTAGGCGTGATTTTCGACCGGAGTATGACGTTCTCGGCGCATGTCAGCGATGTGGTGCGGCGCTGTACTGGCTTACTCAGTGGACTGAGCCACAGCAGACACGCCCTCCCCCAAAACACGCTCATCACTATTGTACAGTCGCTCGTGCTATCCGCCATACGATACTGTATTAGTGTGTACGGTGTATGCGGCATCACCCAGACAGCTCGACTGCAGAAGCTGCTGAACTTTGGCGCACGTGTCATCTCGGGACGTCGGAAATACGACCATATTAGTGACGTACTGAGGGACCTGAGGTGGATGTCAGCCGCCAACATGTACAAGTACCACTCGATGACCTTGTTGAAGCAGATGCTGTCCACCGGCCAACCAGAGCAACTGCACGGCAGTCTGGTGACACGCGGTGATGTTCACCTCCGTGACACCAGGCAGGCCGGCCAGCTCCACAGGCCCGCGATACGCTCTGAGTCTGGCCGCCGGCGGTTTCTGTTCGCCGCCGTCGCGGAGTATAATACCCTGCCGCAATGTCTCCGAGATATGGGACCGCGGCAGTTTAGAGCAAACCTCCGAGATCACCTGATAACAAACCAGTATAGCAGCGGTTAGCTGGCTGTCGGACGCAGACTGAATGGAATGTTATGTGCGTGCGTGTGTTTTTATCATCTCTCTCGTCATTATGACATGTCAATCATAATAGCCATGAGTCCATGGAACGATTGCGCAATGTGAATACAATACAATACAATACAATACAATGTGTTTCCTATTCGCACTCTTTGTGTTCGATCAGTAAGATAAGATTTTAACCACTTCAAAATGGCTCCAGAAATGCCACACTGCGCTCTGCACTTGTATAAAAGACCCTCATGCCAGATTCTGTCAAAATATTTTGAAATGTCAAGGTACACGGCAGTAAAATCTTCGTTGTTGTCCAGTGATAAAAATAATTTGTGTGAGAGATAAACCAACTGCATTTGGGTACTATGGCCCGGCCGGTAGCCACTTTGCTTATCGGAAAGGATGTCATTTTCCGATAGATGTTTATAAATCTCCTTAAAAACTAGTTTTTAAAGAGTTTTGGAAGTGCATGATAAAAGACTAATTGGGCGATAGTTAGTGGGTTCTGAGTTTGAACCTTTATTTTTGACAATGGCAGAAACGTTGGCCTATTTCCAGATTGTAGGGAAGTACCCTGAGCTGAGGGATTTATTAAAAAGTTTTGTCAGAGGTTCATAAATAAGTACAGCACAGAGCTTTAAAAGTTTAGTTGGAATTTTATCAGGCCCTGTAGATTTGTTTGCATCTAAGGAATTTAAAGCTCTTAAAACATCTGGAGCTGACACCTGAATATGATTGAGGATTGGGATACCAGTGATGTTGGGTGAGATTTGTGGGATAGTTAAGTTTGACGTGTTAAGATGAGTTTGTTGTGAAAAATAAGAATTAAAGGTAGACTGCCACCTTTTTTCCACAAAACGGTTTTCACTAGAGCTGAGCCACCTATGTCCCAGACTGAAGTCGGTTTTCCGAAATTCGAACCCGTTTGCGAGAAATCGGAGACCAAAGTTCAGTTCGATGCCATTTTTTTAGTCCAAGAAAACCGACATCTCTACTGTTTATCGATAACTTTGAAACACGAATTTTCTTATCTTTTGGTAAATATATGTCAAAACTTTGATTGTTTCGAGATCAGAGAAGAATTTTGGAGTGTCAAAATAAAAGTTAAACCTATATATTCAGTAGTTCATTTTTTCCAAAAAGTGTGGGAAATGGGGTTTAACATGGGCGGCAGACCCATTCCAAATGAGCCATGATTTTTAAATGTTTTACGAACTTAAAAATAAAATAAATTAAACATGGCCAATTTCTTATGAAATCATATAGTAGTAAATCATAAAATACCTTATTTTTTCAAATAAAATGTAATAATCTTATGACCTTGAAGTCTAGTGATGTGTAAACATTAGCCGCGTTTACATAGGGCTAGTTGCCAGATAGTGGAATTCCACTAACGAGACATTTTTTCCACTAACGAGACATTTCAGGCACCTTCAGATAATTCTGACGACCTATCCGGCCAGAAGGACCAAACCGATTGACAAAAATAAATACATCGTGGCGGATGAATACTTCAGGCCTAGACATAGTATAGATGTCGCAACTCGCGGCCTTCCCGGCAGTAAGGGCGAGGTATAGATGACGCTACTGCATCAAGTCACTGGAACGTGGGAGTCGTGGAATGGAACGGAAGATACGGAACGGGGGCTTCTTAACGGAAGCTTATTCGTTTTATTTTCATTTAAGCAATGATTTCGTGCGCTAGGGAAAGAACATTGTCTTCTTTTTCCTTACGTCTGCACCCCCCCCCCCCCCGTCCCTTCCATCCTTTGGATCAGCCAGTGTGCAGCAAGAGGGTTCATCGGAGAAAAACAACAAAGAGCAATCCTCCCTGAGCCTGTCAGGTCAGAAATAACCTGAGCATAGGCGGCGGAACGGGGAGGGCACCGGGGCACCGTGCCCCCTTTGATTTTGGCATTTTAACATTAGCCCTACGGGCGCTGCATGGAAAGAATGGGACCAAAAGTCGGCGGTGCCCCCCCCCCCTTAATTGAAGGTGCTCCGCGGCTACTGAACCTGAGGACCGTTCGTTATGCCCTACTGCCCACGCTTCTTAAAATTTCAGTAGTAGTCAGTTATCTGGCCAATGTTTCCGTATAGGGGTTGGCAAACACAACTGAGCCTCGTGAGTGGGATGAGTACTGGACACAGAAGTGGACAATCTGTTGGCAAGGAGCCCGCAAGGATAATATCTCGAAACTCAGGACTACGCATACAAACAGGTTAAAAGCATCTAAATCTATACTATAATCGAAAGCCGCATTGTTGTGAACTACCGGCACGTGCGTCCAATCACCATCAAGAACGGAAGTCCGACCTACAGCAAGCACGACAGTCCGATCATAGATGTATTGAAAAATAACTAGCAACTTTAAACATCGCCTTCCTCAGCCACGCTCTACACCGCATCACATAAGAAAACCGCCAATATCGATTACAAAACACACATAAAGGAATTTCGTAGGTATAGATCAGAGGAATACTTCACCTCCTTTATCTGGCGCGTCAATAGGTATAAAGTAATCTTTGGCGTCTACGCACTAGCAACATCTATAATGCAAACAGCAGTTCAGAAACCATCCACTAAAATTGTAACAAGGCAAGGGTTGGTCAAAATAAATTATAGTCACCGTGATAAATAGCAAACGAAATACAGAACAAGCACAACAAAGCATTCCACACTCGTTTAGACTGTACCTACAATATGCCTACATAAGACATTGCAGCAGTGTACAAGGGAAACATTTGTGACATAAGTGCATGTATGGCCTAAACTTTTGAATTCATTTTAGAAGAGATAAAACGCAAAACCATATATTTTTTATCGCAAACTAAAATACCATAAAAAATACCATATATTTTTAACGCAAAACCATATATTTTTATCTCTTCTAAAATGAATTCAAAAGTTTAGGCCATACATGCACTTATGTCACATCTGTCATTTGATAATCCTCAAGGGAAACATTCTTTAAAGATGCTAACGTGAGGAGTTTTAAAAGTTTGGTGAACATAGTTACGAGTCACTGCACAAGAAATGTCGCGGTCGCCAGCCGGCCCAGGCGAAATAGTCGACGGAGACGGCGTCAAACAAACCCGAGAGGGGGTAGTTTCATCCGCATCAGCGGAGGCGCTCTCTCTACCAAGGTCGTCAGTTACCAGCCGCAGCACCCTGCTGGCGATTTGATAGCGGCTCTCATTCTCAGCTGGCTGAGCGCCATGTGCCGGGTCATCCGGCTCCATGATTTCCCCTTTCATTAGCAGCTGCTGTTGTAGTTATTGTTGTTGCGTTCCTTTCAGCCGCTGCCGCAGCATAGCCGTACGGTTCTGGATGGTTCTCACGGCGGCAGCCAGGGTCACCAAATCCGTCTCCCCGTAGCCACACCAGACTCGGGAAAATGTACCGAGATGTACCGAGCCAATGTTGCAGCACTCGCGGCATTCATCGGTAGGACTCCGCCCAACCCAATGTCGGCACTGGCAGGAGCCCGACCAGTGGTCCAAACGAAACTGATGAAAATCGACAGCTGATGAGCGGTCCTCCACTGACGCCGGACGGGTGGCGACGGCGCGGCCGGTCCTGGAGCTGGAACAGCAGAATGGACCGGCCGGGACACGCGGCTCATCAGTCCATTCGTGCTGCTACTCCCCGTAGACCCCAGCTCCTTCGCTGCAGGTTCTCGCGTCTGCCGACCCGTCCGTCCACACCCACGCGTCTCGATAGGGGAGGGGAGGGCAGATATCGTTACGTCGCTTGAAGCAGTTCAGCTGCCGAGGCTCTTTGTCGCAACACCGCCAGCGCCGCGCATCGCAGCAGCACATACCGTGGAGTGCCAGCCTCTTCGCGGCAGACGCGGCATCGGGCAGCAGGGCACTCCACGTCGTTGCATTGTCGGCATCCGGCCTCGGGAGGCGGCCGATGCAGAGCAGGTACTGGCGGATGTCGATAACGACTGCACGGTCGGCCTCCCGCGCGCGCGCCTGCCGTGGCGCGCCTGTCGCGCGCGCGCGCCTGCCTTGCAGAAAGTGCCCACGTCGATCGGCGCTACCGTTGGGATAGACGGCGGTCGACCCATATCGACCGGTACCATCCGTCCGGCCAGCTCCTCCAACACCGCTCTTAGGGCGAATAGCTCGCCGCGCGTGCTAAAGCAGAGGGCGCCTGCCGCGACACGCACCTCTCGGATGTCGCGGTTCAGGGGGGGGGGGGGGGGTGGCCCCTCCTCCTCCATCTAGCACACCATCGGTGGCGGAGCTGTCTGACCAGATCAAGCTCGCCTCAGACGGGAGCTCCGCCAGACGACTTTCCGCCGCCTTGGCTCGCCAGCCGTCGCGCCCAAACTCGCTTCAGGCCGTGAGTCTATAGCCGGCGCGGTGGCGTGGCTTCGTCATGGTAGCCTTGGGCGGGTTGTCCTCAGAGAACGCATTCGCATTGGCGAAGAGGCGAGCAGCGCCACGAGTCCTGAAAAGACCAAACAATATCAATAGACAATCAAAATTGTAAAAATTGGCATTAACTGCGCAACTGATGTTTGCTTGTTTGTTTATTAGGGTTTACGGGCGCTGCGGTGGTCATTTTGCACCCATGAAGCTGTTCTGGTGAACCTGCCCAACTGAGCAGTGATCATGCCATAACTTATGTTTGGCGTAGTGGCAGGGTTCCACCTAAAATTTCGGCGCACGTCAGGTGTAACGTCACATGCGACAAATTCAGCGCATGTCAGTTGGGCAAACTAAGGCTGATGGAATAATATAAAACGAGGGCACCAAAAATTGATCCTAAATGACCATACTTGGACATTAATGCAGACCCTCTCTGTATCACCAATTGTCAGAAAACAAGCAGGTGTTTCAAGGAGCGTTAGAGAGTCATGAAGCCAGGATAAAACACAGTGCTATTTTCTCAAAACAGTTTTTACATGATAGAGTTAGGCAACTCTCTCTCTCTCTCTCTCTCTCTCTCTCTCTCTCTCTCTCTCTCTCTCTCTCTCTCTCTCTCTCTCTCTCTCTCTCTCTCTCTCTCTCTCTCTCTCTCTCTCTCTCTCTCTCTCTCTCTCTCTCTCTCTCTCTCCGTTTACCATTCGCAAGGCCAAAAAGCCCAATTGGTTTTGAAAGACATTGGATTACAAGCTGAGATTTTTTTTACTTTATCATAAAATGTTAAACCTGCGTGTAGATGAAGCCTGAACGGTGGTTTGTAGGCTGATAGGTTGGAGGTTGAAGGTTAGTAAGGAAGGTAAGGTCAGGATAATTTCTGCTTTTTATTTTCATTGGACTTCAGTCTTAATCAACACACACATCAAAAATATCATCTATTTGAGCATCTTCAAGCCTCAATATACAGCAAGTTGTAGGTACCACAACAAATTAAAAATTGATGTCATGCCAACATATGGTCATGATTTTTAACACCAGAATTGAATTAAATGCCTATTGATGCTTTACCTAATATTTTGAAGCCTGAAATCTGATTAACCAAACATTTTTTTTTTCTTGTGTTGGCAGTCTAAACTTTGGCTGGCTTGAGCGCGATGCTATTGCTCTAGCAGAATCTCAAACGGATGTCTACCAAGTGCCACTCCCAAGAAAGTTTTTCAAGATTCTAAAACCACAAACTTAGTTGATGCCTGATCGTGTGATGGTAAATCAAATACCTAATAGCACTCCATCTGAGGCCAGTTTTACAAACAGAAAATAGCCACCTGCCGGATTATTTTGCCTAAAGGCTAATTCACATATGGAGTGTAAATGGTGAAGCCCTCCCTGCTTACCTACATGCCTATCACGTTTACCCTCTGTATGTTGTACCTACGTGGAATGGATATATGAGGAGAAAAATTCCAGGCAGCTATTTTTGTTGGTAAATCGGGTAAAGTAATACTGGCCTCTGAACGAAAATTTGGACTGAGAGAGATGTCGTTTCTTTGGTGGTTTGGATAGGAGTTGATGATTTTAATTGAAAGATTAAAAGGAAAGGGTTTCAAGACAATCGGCATGACAAACCAACACCTTACCTGCAGTTCAAGTTTGTCGATTTCTTCATCAAAATCTAGTCTTCGTCTAGTCCACAAATCAAGATAAAATTACTGGATAGGTACAACTTCTTCTTCTTCTCCTTCTGCACCTCACCTGCCACCCCCTACACTTCTACCTTATTCTGATAAATATCTTTACATACTTTTCACAAGAATGCCACTCAACGGGTTACGGGGTAAATCTAAAAGAGTGCAGGGCTTCAGTTTTGAGCTATAGAGTTCTCATTGATTTTGAGACACCCAATATGTCTTTGGCACGCCGTATTTGTCTCTCACCGCCTGCGAATTCGGCGATATGATTGGTCGAAGGCCGAGGCTATGGGTCCAAGAAAAGGCCAAGATTCCTGCCAAGATTCTTACAGATAGCCAAGGCCGATGACTGACGTGACTGACGGCATGTTACTGCCCTTGGCATATTGCCAATGCACTGCTCCGTCATATCCGCAGTAATGTCAACAGTCATATCGGAAGTAATATGGTAGCTATACGCAAAAACCATTTGGTGTATGGCTACCATACTTTTCCGATAACGAGACATTCTAGATCAATCTCTCTACTGTTGGCGACATCTGCTGAGAAATCCCAAGACCGAACGCAAGCACATAAAAGTAATGCACTCTATGGATGCGTTCGAAATCTGGGAAGTGACGGATTTCATTTCTCAATGCGTGTCCCAGCCTTCCCCATGCTGTTCGTTCCGCCTGCCGCCATCTATTGCCATGTTTCGCATTCGCACTTCATGAATTGACCACCCCGCCAAGTAGGTTGGTATCAAGTTGGTATAGGTGTCGCATTGCTCTGGTCGATCAGGCTGAGCCAGCTGTCTGGAGAGTGGAGCCGATCAAAAAAAAAAAAAAAACGCAGAAATTCAAAAGACCGACTCCAAAGCAATGGCAGCATGCATATCAATAGAACGTAATTCTGTCATGATTGCGTCAGAAGCAAACATAATGGCAAGAGTTTCTTGTGTGTCGGTAGGCGCGTGTGGAGCCGCTGGACCGACCGGGGACGTACAGAAGGGGGGACGGACGGGGTGCGCCTCCCTGTAGGGGCTTTCAGGGCCCATGCTGGCAGAAGTCCCACGTTGGCCAAAATCACGTCGGAGACGAACGGAATTCATGGGAATCCCCAAAAAATTACGTCAGGACAATCAAGGCTCTCCGACTCGCCTGCCACCTAGGGTCCTTCAATTTACTACATGGGGCCTCCTGTGAATAACCGCTAGTGTCTGTGTCTGACCACTAGGGCCCCTCTGACTCCTCGGGTAGAGGGCCCTCTGTAGGTAGGAGGCTCTCTCTACGGGATTCCTCCGCTCCCCCCCCCCCTCGGCCAAATTCTAGGTTATACGTGCCTGCGCTAAGCCGGAGTCGGAGAGAGGAGTTGACGACCGAATGACGAGTACTCGTCCTGAAAGTAAACATTTGGAATACAAACAATCCAAAGCTGTTCAGTATTTATTAGTCTCATGGGCCCTCATGGGCTGGCGTCTCCGGAGGTACAGGACGATTTTCCCGAGCCCGGAAGACGTCCGCGACGACGGAGAGGTGGCGGCCCTGGCGGCCGCCGTGAGGGACCTCCAGAGCCGCACGGCTACACCACGGTAACGCGGCTGGATGGAACCACAACAACAACAACAACAACAACAACAACAGGTGCGCGGCGCTGAGCTGACGCCGCTGCTCCACTCTGGTCATGTCGAGGTCAGTGGCCAGCAGCTGGTGGTGCGCCGGGTCAGGTCAGGGGACGCGGGCGTATGCCGAGATCGCCGAGCTCGGAGGTGGGCAGCGCGGCGCGGAACACGCGACTGGAGGTGACAGTGACACGCCGCGCTGTCATCGAGCCCGGTCAGCTGCTGGTGACCACCAGACAGCCCGCTCAGCTGACCTGTCACGTGACGCCGCCCCTGGCAGCCAGCGACATCGTCTGGTTCAAGGACGGCCGCCGTCTGCCCGCCGCCGCCAGCCGGCCGGCTCTGCAGCTGACCGGCGGCAACCGCTCCGTGGCCGGCATGTACCAGTGTCACGTGACCGATGACCTCGCCACCACCCAGGTCAGGATCGGAGCGTTGCCGGCTCGGCTGCTGTTGTCGCTGGTTCAGCAGACGGTGCAGCCGGTGGTGGACACTGCGATCACATTCACCTGTGCGGCCACCTCGTCACCGCCGCCGGCTGTCACCTGGACGAGGGACGGTGTCAGCGCCGACCAGCTGGGCGGCAGGTTCCACGTCCAGGACAGCACCTCTGGAGTTAAGGACGTCACTAGTCAGCTGACGATTCAGCAGGTGTCCCGTTTCAGCAGGTGTCACAGCTAACCCCTCCGACGGATCACCCTCCCGGTTCTGAGCTCCGGGGTCACTGCCTCCCATTGACAGACTTTTCTGGCGGCGGCAGCGGAGATATCATTGCTCCGTCTGCGGCGTGGATGGCCAGCCGGGTGGTAGACTCTGTGGTGCCGGCCGCGCTGTGGGCGCTCACCAACAGCTGGTAGACTGTGACCGGCAGCAGACTGCACAATTCGGCCACGTCCAGGTCGGCCGGGAACGGGCCCTCGCGCCGCCGGCCAGCCACAGGCAGCTGAGACCGATGGAGGAGGGTGACACAACCCGGCAGGTCAGCTGACGCGGCGCCACCTCCGGCACTCCCTCCTCTGTGGTGGCGGTGACGGGCGAGCTGGCAGGATCCTGGCCGGCTCGGTTACAGGCGCTCATCGGGACTGAGTATGCCGTGTTGGGCTGCAGGTGTTTGAGGAGCAGCACCAGCTCCGGTCGGCGGACAGACCTGGTCAGGGTGATCTGGTCGGCCAGCCGGACGTAGGTGGCCTGTATCCGTCCGTGGGTCAGCGACTGCGGCGGCGGTGGGCTCCACGTCAGCCGCAGGGTGCGCGGCCCGGCAGGTCGTAGCCGGGCGCCGAGCGGCGGCCCGCCGGGCGGCTCCGGCTCGGTGTGCACCCTCAGCGCGCCGCTGGCTCGCTGCTGCCGTGCCGATTCACGACGAACACATGCAGCCGGTACGAGGCGCTGGGCTGGAGGCCGGCCACCAGCGCACTCCGCTGCCGGGCCAACACTGTCTCATTGACTCCCAGCTGCCAGACCCGGCCGGCGGCTCGGCGACGCACTGAACCACGTAGTGCGCCACGACGCTGTTGCCGTCGTACCTGGGCGGCCAGGCCACCAGCACGGATCGCAAGGTGACGGACGCCAGCCGCCGATCGGAGGGCGGCTCCGGCCGCTCCGTCACTATCACGTGCCGCGCGGTGCTGTCCTCGCCGTGACTGTTGCGTACGTGTAGGCGCCGCCGTCGGTCCGTCGCGCCGCCGTCAGTGTCAGCTGGGAGGAGCCGTCCGCAGCCGTTACCTGCACAGTGACGTCTCCGTCCGCCGGGTTCACCGGAGCTCGGTCGGGGTCGCCAGCAGATGGCTGCGCCGGTACCAGCTCAGCTGCAGCGGCCGGTCACCGAACGGCGCCAGACACCACCGAGGCGGCTCTCTGACGCTGCTGGAAACGGGCCGGCACGGTAATGCCGTGCGGCGCGGCGCGCCGCAGCGGCTCGTCCACGCCTTTGTCGGCGCTGTAGCCGTTTTCTCTGCCGCCGATCTCGGCGACCGTCAGCGGCGACAGGCAGCCGTCGGCGCCGCCCGACGGAGGATGAGCCGCCTGTCGGCGGAGCCCCGGAGCGCGGCGGCTGAAGTGAAAGTCCAGTCCATGAGACAATGGACGGTGGCTGATCGGCCGCCGAACAGTTGAAGTCACGACGCTGCCGCCCAGTGCCACTTCCCTGTCCACCATCTGGTGAAGCCAGCGCGGCGGCACTCTGACGCGGAGCTCGGCCGAGTCCGAGTGGCGGCTGCCGGTTACCGCGTTGGCCGCAGCCTGGTCGGCTCGCACGCACTGGAACACCAGGCTACTGTAGAACTCTGCGCCGACCGTCTCCAGGCGGTGGACGGCCAGCGAATGGTTGCCGCGCGGCCAGCTAGGCCGCCGGCCTCTACGGCGGTCTGGGCGCCGCCCGGCCTGGCCGGGCGATTGAAGATGAAGCTGAAGGATCTAGACCACCACCAGAGCTACGAGGTGTGGGTGGCGGCCGTCAACCAAGCCGGGCAGGGCGCGCCATCCCGAGCGCTGCTCTATCGGCCCAACACAAACATTGCGGCACGAAGAAATAGCCTGGTTCTCGCGACTGGTACTGGCCGAGCAGGCGCGGCCGCTACTGGTGCAGTGCCTGGCGGTGGGCTGGCCGGCGGCGCGACCCGTCTGGAGCGCCGACCGGCCGCTGGCGCAGCTAGGCACCGCCATCCGCGAGAACGGCAGTCTGTTATCAGCGACGAGCCGGCAAGCCCGAAACTGGACCTGCTCGGTGGCGAGCGACGCGATGACGTTGCGTGTGCTGGTGAAGCGTCCGGCGCGCGCCGCAACGCCCGCCGTGCTCGGCGTCGGCCGCCACTGGGTGCGGCTCGGCTGGAGTCTGCTGGGCTGGAGTACTTTTCTGCTGCCGCCAGAAAAGTCTGTCAATGGGAGGCAGTGACGCCGGGGCTCAGAACCGGGAGGGTGATCCGTCGGAGGGGTTAGCTGTGACCTCCCACCGGCAAAGGTCAGCTATCACTGGGAAGGGTTCGCTGCCACCAGCCACCGGGCAAGGTCATCCCCCACCAGGGAGTGTCAGCTGTCTTTGGGGAGGATCAGATGGCGAGGATCAGCTGTCACTGGAGAGGATTCAGCTGTCAGGAGAAATACCACTTTTATTATGGGTTTAGAACAGCTGGAATGGCAGCTCTATAGCTTGAGCAGACACCATGGCCGGCCGAACGAGGAGGGCACCGGGGCACCGTGCCGTGCCCCCCTTTGGCTTTGGCATTTTAACATTAGCCCTATGGGCGTTGCATGGAAAGAATGGGACTTGGACCAAAAGTCGGCAGTGTCCCCCCCCCCCCCCTAATTGAAGGTGTTCCGCCGCTACTGGCTGACACCTGACATTAGCGCATATTTTAAGTCTTAGCACCCCAGCAGCCACTCTAGCCAAGGATTTATGTTATCAATTTGATCTGAATCTTCTGAATGGAAGGGTTCACAAGGACATAGTCCCCGCTGAGAGGAACATGTTGGCATGCCCTCCACATTCTAAGCACACATACTGGGCT